TGTGCCTGGGCTGAGACTGGTCCCGCTGGCGCAGGGTAGCAGGAAGCTCTCCACACACTCACCGGACCTGGGCTAGGACTCGGTCTGGAATCTGGCCCTTTTTAGTTGGTAGTTTTTCAATTGTTGCTTCAGTTTCATTGCCTGTTGCTGGATTATTCAGGGTTTTTAAATCTTTATTAGGTGTTGGTAGTTTGTATATAATCAGAAACCTGTATCCTCTGGATGCTCCAAGTTTCTTTCAAATATAAAAAGAAAATGTGCTATTTATACACAGTGAAGAAATACACACAATGGAGAAGGATAAACTTGGATAATTGATAAGAAAATGGTTGTACATTGAAACTATAATGTTAAGTGAGATAAATATGCAAGCTTAAGTATTGCATTGTTTTTCTTGTTTGAGAAGAACAAAATAAAAAATAGATAATAGGAGAAAGGAAGATAGATCTTTTTCAAATGGAAAGGAGACCAAGAAGTAGAAGGAAAGGGGTGGGAAAAGAGTAGGGGGAGGTGAAGCAAGAATTGAGATGTGTTATGTACATGTGCCAATTCCCAGCAAGGAATACAATCATTATTTTTCTAATACATACTTATAAAAACTGAGGGTAATATAGGTGAAGAGTCATGCCAGGAAGAAATAATACTGATATGTAATAATGGTGGCACAACCAGGGTATCAGCAGTGTACTGGTGAAGAATAATCACATTTTACATTGTGATAGTTTTGCATGTAGAATATGAAGAAAACAAGAGCAAACCATGACTTTGTATTGTTATCTTTTAATCTCAAAAAAGATGAAAGCAGGTATTTTTTCCTGTGCTCTTGAACTAAGAAATAACTTAGTTGTTAAGGACAACTTAGAATTTATTTGACTTGCAAATCCTTCAGGATAGAGTGCAGAAAAAAGTTTCAAACCAGATTTGTCATGATTTTTATATACATATTCTTCCACTTTACTACAAATAGAAAGCATATACTATAGTGCCTATAGTTTATTAGGTCTCAATTTTACTTTCTTAGTATTCTTTACATTCAGAGTAAGGTACATCAAACAATTCAAAGTTAGTAAATACACATAGTTTATGTTCATGTATTATATATTTAATCAATACATGGATAAGATAAAT